GTCAAACGATAACATTGTTTCAGAATTGATGAAATTGGATTTGAATTATGCTACCAGTATAATACCTTATTTCGGAAAAAATGTTTATTAATGTCTATAAGTATGTCTTCTCTACATTTGATCCGTTTTAACTTTTTAAGGGAACTCCGTTTGTAAAGTCCATTGAACCTTATGTATTTTTGGAGTACAATGTTTCCAAATGATGATTTGTCTATGTTTCCATAAACAATCCGTAAAAGCATAAATATAACATTATGAAGCTACTTTGATAGATTATAGGTCAGTGTCTCTGTTAAAATTACATTATTTTTCAATTTTGTAAGTTTAAATGTGTAATTATATTGTGAGAACTTTTACTTGTAGGCGTCGAAAATTACCAAAAGCTCTTTTTTCCAACTGAAAAATAGATGGAGAACACTAATTATTGGTTAGGTATTAGCATTGGTATTATCTATAATAATCCACACTAAAAACATATGACAAATTATTAGAATTCATTGTAACTTGATATAATAAAACGCATAAAGTTCTCCATCCAATGGAGCTGAGTATCGTCAAAAAATAAAGGTACAAATCACAATATTCACACAGCTAACAGAATAGTTTAAAACTATTGATAACTATTACTGACACCGAATAAACGTGAGCCGGATGTGGCAGTGTGACTCATTTCTGTTGTGATGTCGAAATCACTTTAAAAGTTGCAAGTTCTCAATGACTCATGTTGATTTACGAGGGTAATATCAAAGTTTAACAAAGACTCGCATTGTTCAGAGTCGCTTCATAGTTGAAATATCACGAACGCTTTGTGGTTTCGGGTATATTTTTCCGTTTCTGAAGCGAAATTTTGATAACAAATTTATTTAGTGAGTTGATATGTGTTTTGACAAATGTGAGTTTTTTACATGAAATAAGCCTTATTGTAAAACATTAAATAAAATAATTAGTTGACACTACGACCCCTAACTTTGGGTGTTTCAACAATTCCTAGTTCTTTCATATATATTTTCAGCCGTAAATCAGTAACCATACCTCAAATATTAGTATTAGCAAATAATAAATACATTTCAAACCGTATGTGGTGATTAGCTGTCTAGAGATGTTTCTAAGAATTTCATTCATGATTTTACAAACATCATGATATCAAGATTTTAAGGCCTAAAATTAATTATATTTCCCAAAAATTAGCTGAGATGCATTATGCAGGTACCTGGTAAAGTGACTTTAAACAATGGGCTTATACCTGACAAACAACTAACTTTCAACAGTGTTCGACGAAGTGAGGCAATGGCAATACTAAATCTGTTTGTATTGTCCATTTAAGTGCTGAGTTTGTAGTACCAAGTTTGGTCAGGTCAGATATATAAGTTAGTTCAGCTGAGTTGTTACATAAACATCCTGAACGCTACAAGGCACTTAACTCTGAACCTTGTTCACTGGAAGTAAACAAGCAGATAAACAAATCTTCAACTTAATAAACGTAAATAACACTTCTATATTTTTTTATTTATAAGTACGTTTTTCATTTTGATTCATATTCTATATGTGTGTTTCTGCTAAGATACATTTCTATAAGGTTTAAAAAGTTTAAGTTTTATATTTTCATCTAGTTTTACTACAACTCTAAATCACTCGGAAATAAAACTCAAATTAATTACCACTGGACAAATATGATATTTCTTTACCTCAAATAGTTGTTTATTTCAAGTCTTGTTATTTATTTTCAATTTTGTTTGGTTATATAAAGCCAAACGTGACTTATCGTGCATACAACATCGATAAATTTGACGTAAAACTAAATGCTTGGTGTTGCAGTAAATAATGTGCAGAGGTGATTAACATATGCAGAGGCAGTTACTTGTCCTATAATTAACTTGTCGCTGAAAAAAAAACAGTCCTAAAGCACGGAAACTCACTACACCTGGGTTCTCCGGTTAAGGTAATTTCTATACAGAGGTAACAAACAATACATTAACTGAAATAGTAATTTTTGGCATTAGGCTATCTTTTAATGTAATGTTGGTAATATCAATATAGCTCAATACGTAGGATCGTTTTTATGATTTCTGAAAAATATACATTTTATTTACATTATTTATTGCCTTAATGTTTCATAACTTTTTATTGAGCTTAATTCAACTAACGAAAAGTATCAAAATTTGTCAACATAAATATATTTTGTTAATTAATTGTTGTATAGTGATAACGATTAGGATAACTGCAGAAATGAAGAATTTGAAACGTGTGCATTATGACGTGCGCATTATGTTGTGAAGAATGCTATATTTGATCTGTTTTCTAACGATACAACGGTTGCAATTATTGGTCTAGCAGAGTTCTTTATTTTCTGTAACTTTCAAAAACGTTAGCAGACGCCATGTTGTGAAACAGAGATTATGATACAAAAATACCATTGTTTTAATGTGTAGGGGGAGCGAGACTGTTAGAGCCCTTCTTAAAAGTAAGAAAGCTGCTTCAGAGTTATGACTCTTGATATAACAAAAACGAAAGAAGGTGAACTTGGGATCGTTGGTTAAGAACTTTCAAGAATAGAAAGAGAGTTTATTATTCATCCCAGTAATATGATCCCAATACGTTTGAAACTAAGAACGAGCTCTTAATGTTTATAACTTTATAGTATATAAAAAGCTAAATATTGTTAATTTATTTTCAAATTTAGTAATCAAACCTAGTAGGCATTGCTGAAAACTCTACGCACGCAGAGATTTTAGCGAGGATTATTTGTATGACCTTTAGCGAATATATTTTTGAATTATTAGTACATTTTCATGTCCTAAATTGTTAGCAGCATTAAATTGTTTTTTTATCAGAATTTATTTTAAAATTAGTACATCAGAACATAAGACTAATAAGTATAAATAAAAAAATGGCAGGAAGCAAGCACCTGTTTTGCAAAATATCTCATATCTGGTGCAATAGACAGCCAATGGAATTAAAAATTCGTAAACTGAATTGACTACTTAGGTAAGAATCCCTAACAACATTTTACTATATAAGGTTATGATCAAATGTAAATACTGTATCAGTTTTTTTGTATGAATAAATCTTTTGTTTAGACTCCAGGTGTTATTTTCCAACATTCATGTACTCTTTTTGATACTATGTTTTTTTTATATATATAATTAATTTGTTTTCGTTGATATCACTACAGTTTTCTATTTATATCCTATCTAGTGACATCTAGTGATACGTATCCGTCCCAAATCCTACGTATCACTATGTATTTTCTATCGATCGTCTATTTGATACTTCCACTAAGGTCAAGTAGAGCCTCGTATTCTAATTCCTCACTGAGGAGATACTTTAAAAAGTTACAACACGCACTCATAAGTTCACCTTTGTGAGTGCTGGTATTACACTAACTATGAAAAATCGCGTAGCGACCGAAAATCAAACACTCTAAGCAAAACGGCCACCGCAACAGCGATAATCGCTGTGCGACTATCGCTACAGTCGCTCCAAGCAAAATAGGCCTTTATGGATATATTTAAACCAACTTTGGATATTTTGTTTATTTAATACTAACCTATTGACATTGCAATAAAAAAACGCATCTCAATATCTTCTCTGCAGCAGCAAACCTAGGTACTCACTAAAATTAATGTTAATTAAATAGGAAATGAATCTAACAATTGTTAGGGAATATTTTAGTAGAAATCCAGCCAGGTAATTTGAAATTCGCTTAGTCTCTGCAGGTTTTCTGTGGCGAGGGTATTTTATATTTGTCTTGAATTGTAAAATATTATTTAAGTAAAAGTTTTTTTCTGTAGGAGGTCACGTCTAGGTTGGATTTTTTAATAAATCAATTAATCATTTGTTAGCCTATGTCATCTATATAAATAAAATTATAGTTTTGTCTGTACACTGCTCAGAGTTATATATTTTTAGGTTATTTTTACGTTTTATAGATTAAAGAAGCAGAAACGAGTATTATCTCTATTTCTGTCTGGCTGTAACACTCAAGGTGGCATTTTACGCTATCTTCTCCACGAAAACGAGAGTACCTATGAAGATCCAAGTCATTTTAATGTACTCACTGGATTGACGAGAGTGTCTTTAGCCATTAAAATATGGCCTCACTACTTTGTAAGTAAAATCACGGACGTTCAAAAATGTAGTTTTGTGCGATTTTTGTCAAGTTTTGTCCAATTTTTATCACATAATCCTCTATGGATAAATAACGAACAGCTATTCGGATCAAGATTATTTTTTCTAGCTGTCACTGATATGTTTAAAAATGTTGTTTACAAATACCACAACCATTTTCGACCACGTTTTGAAAGCAAATACGAACCAAGTGAGATTAAAAACGTTTTTCTTACATAACGGATTTAATTAATCGCAAGTGCAATAATATAGTGTAACAGTAAATGAAATTAAATAACTAGGCATCATCCAGGTCAGGAACCAGAGATTCTTTGTGTATACAATTGTTCTTGAGTTTTGATAACCAGAAAGAAGACCTTGAATCAGTGTTGTATACGGCTCGGAAACTTAAAATTATTAATGATCGTCGCCAATAGCTTAGAAACAAGGTTTCCACTCATTGACGGCGCTTCAATGGCGGTTGTGTAAAGTGTAAAGTAAAAAATCACAATTGCATTGGGTGATTGTAACAGAGGTTTACGGATGATGCTAAAGCTTGCTGTTCCTAACTACTGTTCTTAATATAAAAAGGTTTCAACTGACTACGATAAGATCCCCGTACGTAGAACGGGCACACAGATAGTTTAATATAATTTCCCAAGACCAAATTTGTGCCAGGCCAATTACTAAAATTACGGCACATGACCTTGAACACTTAGCACACAGGTGACATAGCTGATTTGAACAATGTTACATTTTGAACACTGAGAGTCGGGGCTTATGAAATACTGCTCTCTGATTGGCTCTGCCACCGGGCCACGTGTTTTACTCACGTAAGTAGGACGGGCCACAGCTGCTAGTCATGTATTGAATCATTAGCAATGACGCACACATTCAGTTGGTGGTTCAATTACACGGGAATGGCGAATTTTTAATTTTAGAAAATAATTATTTCGCCTGGTATAAGTTGGAGTGAATTTTAATCAATTTCATCTTCTCCAACATGAAGCTAGTGCATCATGTTCTGGTGTACGTGTTGGTAAGTATCCAACAATAATAATAGTAATATTCTTTGTCATCATTTAGAATTAAGGTCAAAGAATTGTGCACTGATGGTTAATTATTGTTATTCATATTTTCTTGTTTCTGTTTTGTTATTGGTATATTTATTTGTTGTTAGCTTAATATTGGACGAAAGTAAGTTATTGGTATTTCCTTAAGTAGTTGGTAAGACCTTAAATTCCAAATAGATTATGTTTGCTGATGATACTTCTGCTATCTTCATCCATCCAGATAATTCAATGTTTCCACAGCTTATAAAACAATATTCCAAAAGCTTTAAAAAAAACTGTCGTAGGTAAAGCATTAACCAAACAAAAAACGTGTTAGACTTTTCGTGTTTTTCAAGACCAAATTTGTGTTGAAACCACGCCACAGAACAGAAGAAGTCTGTTAAGTCCGAACAAGAATTTCATGTTTTGTAACTATTGTAGATAGGCGTTAGTGTTAGTGATGTAACAAGATATTATAAGAAGACCCTCTAAAGATGCCACACATTGCTGGCGAAGAGGACATAGGGTGATTATATCAAGAACACTCAAACACTGCCAAAAAAATAATAATTTTATTTAAGCTCTTGAATCTCGAAACCCTAAATCAAGAATCTTTTACTTTCATAGCGAAACTATATTTTTCGTTTTAGGCATTGCTACAACGGGAGACTGTTGCGACTGTTAAAACAGAAGGAGAAGATCACGCAGATCCAAAGGTATATAGAACAATACTCTAATGTGCAAGTAAACTAATGTATTTCATCAACTTTGCACTTATATAATACTAGCAGAGTACCCGTCCTTCGTACGGGGTTGGGATATAAGTATAAAATGCTTATTGCAGTTCTACTCAAGCTTTGCGTTTGCAATAAGGTAGGACACAGTTTGATAAAATTTGCTTTTTTAAATTTACAGTATTCTATAAGCATTACACATCTACCATAGCCATAATGTTCTACCACTTCACCTAAACAATAGAGAAAAATAAATTATCAACAGTTCGCAAAATATCACAAATTATTCATGAAATGAAAAACATAAACATAACCTACTTGGACAGTTCTCATTGTGAATCACAGTTTTTTGTTGCTGAATTAGCTGTTTTCATAAATGCAAAAAAAATATAGTGCTGCACCCTGCTGGTAAATCTTATAACTTTTTAATGCTTTTCCATATCATAGAACCAACTTTTTTAGTTGAAACAGCTGATTAAATTCTTTAATCCCTTTAAATATGAATACTCATAAGGTTAACATGGGGAATTACAGAGCCACTGGGACGGAGCCCGAAAGGATTATTGAGATAGGTATAGGCCTATATGTTAATCGGGAATGTAAGCTATCATCATGCCAAATTTCAGCCCAATCCGTTCAGTGGTATATGCGTGATCGAACTTCAAACACACAAACAAACAAACAAACAAACACACAAACTTTCACATTACTACATTCATTCATTACTACATTTCACATTAATAACTTACTGATATTAGTAAGATAAGATATTAGCCATGTTGTAATAAATAGCATAGTACTGACTATAATAGGACTTTAACTGAGTGTATTGAATTTTCGTCTTCGGGAGATGACTGAGACGCTGAAGGCAGGGAACATAAAAAATGGCGTTTTTTGTTAAGTTAAATATTTCCATTGTCACATTTTAGGGAAATAATGCCTTTTATCAGTTAACTAGAAGATAGTCTAATGAAGAAAGTAGAGTTCAAAATTATTCAAACTGTGATACACACTGATAACAGCTCTTGATAAGTTGATCGCAAGCTCATAAAAATAAATTCTGCGGTATACGGAGAAAGTCCTCTTTAATTAATAGTTTTATTTAATCATAATTATTGAAGCTATGGGTATAAACCTGTACCTTCAAGTAACTCCATAATAATAAGTCACGTAAAAATCTGGGGATCGGGCGTGGTCAGTCTGTTTAGTATTCTATGGTTTATTTTATTTTAGTCTGTCTCCAACACATGTTTTTAGGTTTTTCAATTTTACTACATGTGATTATTGTTTTGATAATATTAATGTTGTTCAAAATGGTCAAGAAATACATCACAGTTTTTTCCTTAATTCATTTTGCATTTATTTGTTGGTGATTTTCTCTATAGATTATGTAATTGTATTTTAAAGTTATATAAAGGACTTTCTCATTCTTCCACAATATTAACCTCAAGACTAAAATCAAGATTAGAAAGATTTTATAACTATTCAAGGTAAATCTCTATCCTTTTCCATTATACATCAAGCCTAAAACTATTCTCTCCTCTCTAAAATTCCCTAATCATTTCGGAATTTTAGAGAGGAGAGAATAGTTTTAGGCTTGATGTATAATGGAAAAGGATAGAGATTTACCTTGAATAGTTATAAAATCTTTCTAATCTTGATTTTAGTCTTGAGGTTAATATTGTCGAAGAATGAGAAAGTCCTTTATATAACTTTAAAATACAATTACATAATCTATAGAGAAAATCACCAACAAATAAATGCAAAATGAATTAAGGAAAAAACTGTGATGTATTTCTTGACCATTTTGAACAACATTAATATTATCAAAACAATAATCACATGTAGTAAAATTGAAAAACCTAAAAACATGTGTTGGAGACAGACTAAAATAAAATAAACCATAGAATACTAAACATGCCGGGCCCCTTGAACCGCAGGTTCAATGAATTAATTTAACAAGTGAGTACAGAAACAGCAATTAAAACAGAGAAAGTTAAAGCAACAAAAGGGGCGGAACTGTAATAAAATTTAGTCTTCAAGTACAGGCAGTGGGAAAACCTTGATTGCCGGTCTAGTAAGAAGTCCATTCTTCGTACGCACAGTCACAACTCTTGTAATGTTATCTGAACCAGGGTGTGTTTCAACAATTCTAGCCAGTGGCCAACACATTGGAGGTGTAAGGATGTCTTGAATCACAACAAGATGAAGGTAGTCTCCATCGATGCCATCTTTGGAGTTTATTCATCGTATGAGGTGTACTATGCAGAAAGTATCCAGGTGTTGGTGTAGATAGGTCTGATGGATCTTCTGAAAGAGGAGTTACAAGACGAGGTTTCTGGATTGCTTCTTTGTAATAAGGTTGAGTTTTAAATTTCTCTTCTGGTATAAATAATCTTGTTTTGGTGTTGTTACTAGAGTTGCCGAGATGATGGCGATTAGGTTTGAATGGCAGCCTAACACAGTATCTGGCAGAGGGTTCTCTAGATTGTGTTTTCACTAAATGTTTTTTATTTGAAACTTTATATTCGGTCTGTCTGGGAGGTTCTTCATGCTGCCAATACCGTTGTAAAGAGGAATGAATATCAAATTCAGAGACATTTAACATAGTTGTGAGGCGAGAAGAATCTTTGTTATATTTAGAATTACTCCCATGAGAGTGTAACCAAACACTGTGTTCATTACAAATGGTAGGTTAGGCCCAAGTTGTCGTTTCTCTCCTGTGAAAATGAATGGGAATAAACCCCCACGTAGTAAAACGTCAACAGGCCCAGGGCGGTGGAAAGTAGGGTCAGCTAGGGTATACGGTTTCACTATTTCCAATAAATTTGGATCAAGAGGAGATCTTGGCATGTCCGAGGTAATCTTATCCAAAATCAACATTGGATGATTTTCTGAAACTTTGTTCCCACTTAGTGTTTCGATGTCCACATAGCCCATTCCCTTTGGGGATGTAAGAGACTGATTGATTCCATTAACACGAAGAGTTGACTTTTGACGTTTAATTCCCAACAGTTGGGCTGCTCTTTCTGTTATGAAATCACATTGACTGCACGAGTCGATTGGAGCTCTGAAGACATGAGCAACACCTTGCCTAGACACCAACTTTACCAATACAGTTGCTAATAAAACAGTGGTGTTCTTTTGAGGTCGAGAAAAATTTGTTGATACTCCAGCAAATTCATTTTGACTTTGAGATGAAGATGAACATGATACAGCATTTCTTGATGTGAGGTCTTTCGATGGTTCTAAATGTAACAGGGTGTGGTGATTTTTATGACATTTAAAACAAGAGTTTTTCGATTTGCAGATACTGACTTTGTGATTTCCAAGACAAGAGAAACAACGTCTCTTGGATTTGATTAGTTCATACCTTTCTTGAGGAGATTTTTCTTTGAATAAAGTACAGGAATATACTTTGTGTCCAGGTTTAGAGCAAACGAAGCAAGGGAAATCACTGGAGCTTTGTGTTGATGCAAGGGTAAATGGTCTGGGATGAGTCATTTCATTTTTGCGGTTGAAGTTGGACAAAGGTGGGATATTTGAGTGAGGTTTGACCCATTTACTACTATTGGGTGAGTGCATGGACACATCTTCAGCATGTGCACAATGATTTGACAGAAAAGTTATTACCTCATTGACTGAGGGCAGAGATTCAGAGTCATTTCTTGAAGATTCATATTTATTTAACAATTTTGAGTCTAGTTTTCGTAAAAGCATTGATGCTAAGAGAGGATTGTTTTCCACTACATCACAGCCTAATGCTGTTAGAGCTTGGGAATTTTCATTAAAAGAGTTTAGCAAGTTTCTGAGATCCTTAGTAGAGGAAAAACTAACACTAGGCAAATCAATGATTTTATTGATGTGGAGAGATGAAAGTCTTCGCACTGAATGGTTACGATCTCGCAACATGTTGTACGCGATGGTGTAGTTTGCTTCAGAGATGGGTAGGGATTTGACCAGATTGAGTGCTTCACCAGATAAAGTACTAAGTAGATATTGAAATTTAGCCACATTTGAGAGAGATGAATTTGAATGAATTGTGGTATCAAAGAGGTTGATGAAGGCTATCCAAGTTTGAGAGTCACCATTAAAGTTTTTTAATTCTATTTTCGGTAAGCGCACCACAGACATGTTAGAGTGTTCCCGTTCATTGAGATGAGAGGTAATAGATTGATTGACATTTGACTTTACCTTCCAAAAGATAAGCATTTATTTTACTTTCTATGCTGATACAAAGTTCATTTATTTCCTCCTGTCGATCAATTAGATCTTATTCATCATAGTCACCAGGCAGAGTAGGCACGTCCAGTAATTTTCTAATGTGTTCATTAAATTCACAACGCTTTTCATTGACTTCACTTTTATAGGAATTAACCTTTTGTTGATCAACTAATTCAACATGGTCATTTTCTGATATAGTGTCAATAAATGAAAGAATATTATTGAGACGAACTTTGATTAGGTTAGAAAATCTGACAAAGGTTTGATACTTCATTTTGTATATTAAAGGAATGTACTAGTGAGCTGATTGGAGAAATGAGGTTGTAAAGGCAAAGATAGAAAGGGGTTGAAATATTGTTACTAAGGCAACATAATCAAACATTCCAATTTGTCAGTGTAAACATTAGTAGATTTTGAAGATTAAATTTTGAATATCTTGATGAAATAACAAATAATAATGTACAATATTAGTAGTTTTGAATATCCATATTCTTGATTCTTTCATCCGAGGCTCGAAGGACCAATGAAATGATTAGGGAATTTTAGAGAGGAGAGAATAGTTTTAGGCTTGATGTATAATGGAAAAGGATAGAGATTTACCTTGAATAGCTATAAAATCTTTCTAATCTTGATTTTAGTCTTGAGGTTAATATTGTCGAAGAATGAGAAAGTCCTTTATATAACTTTAAAATACAATTACATAATCTATAGAGAAAATCACCAACAAATAAATGCAAAATGAATTAAGGAAAAAACTG